GGAGACAAATTTAAGGAGTAGGTGCCCACTAAAGCGTTGAAGAGAGAGACCATTCCCAGCCTTTCCACACCCTCCTCGGTGCAGAACCTTCCACCGGTTTAAATGAGGCTAGAGTCTTTAGAGGTCCTCTGGGAAGACAGAGATATGCCCTCGAGCAATGGCTGTAGAGGGAGGCTCAGGAAGAGTCTCTGCAGGAGGCCTGTGTAACCACAGCCCTTGAGCCGGGGCTCCACCTTGGACCCTCAGAATCACAAATTAGGAGCAGGGCCAGGGAATAGTGGTGTAAGAATTTCTCCAAGTGACTCTGGTGTGCCAAAGCTAGGCAGCCTATCTCACTTGAGTAGAGGCCTACCTCACTGACGTCAGCAGGCAGAGGCACAGGAAACTTAGAGAAGCCTTCCTGACAGGCTACTTGGCAAACCTGAAACAGAACCGTGTCTAGTATTCTGTGCCCTGCCAATAAAGCTGCCACACTCACGGGAAATATTCTGAGGTCAATGAAAATCTGACTTGTCTGGAGCCTGTATAATAATCAGCTGGGGAAAGAGCCCCCTCTCAGGACAGTCCCCCTGCCAGGTTTAGGGATATAATAATGACAGATATAAACATTCCCTGAGCAGTTACTCAGGGCCAGGACTGGCTCCATGCTCTCACACCAGTTATAGGCATGTAGCGCATCACTCACATTCTACAGAGGAAATTCAGAAAGGTTAAGTGGCTCCCTAAGGGTGACAACCGTGGCAGGTGGCAGAGGTGGCATTCAAACCCAAGTACTCTGATTCCAGTGCTAGGCCTTCACTATTCTGGGGACCCACCTCCCTAGGGACAACTTTGGGTCAGTTCCACTACATCACAAGCACAGGCGTGGTGCCACATGCCTGTAATGCCAGCACTAAGTTTGCAACCAGCCTGGGGAACTCAGGGACTTAGTGAGACTCTGCCTCAAAAACAAATAAACAAATCGATAGAAACTGAAAAGGGCTGGAGATGGAGCTCAGTGTGAAGGCCTCGCATTCAATCCCCAGTACCAAAAAGATAAACAAACACCTCTTCCACAGAATACAGGGGGTGCCACAAACCAAAGATGCCTTCAGGGATGAACAGTAAAACAAAGGAGAACTGGGCTTAGTATATAGATCATTGAGCAAGAACAGAGCAAAATCCAGAGTGTGAAGAGGCCAGTCAGCTCCAAACCCTCTCCCTGGTTCCCCATATGAATGCCACCCCCGCCAGCATTCTTTCAGCCTCTCTGACATGAATCCCAAAACAGTACTAGTTTACAGTTATCTATGTAAACCTTGTTTTAAGAATTAAAACATGCCACCACACCTGGCTGAGGATCTCTACTTTTAACACCCTCCCCCGCACTGATTCTTAGTGATCCTCAGCACGGAAATCTGAATAGAATTATTTCAAATTCTCAGAGAAAAACTAGCCAGAGCCATAATGGATTCTGCCTCAAGCACAAGCAAAATCTTTCCTTCTCCTTATAATAAGCTCTCCCTAAAGCAACGCCATTTGTCATCACACCTGAAGTATTTTCTCATTATCTAAAGTAATTGCCTCTAGAATTATTTCAAATTCTCAGAGAAAAACTAGCCAGAGCCATAATGGATTCTGCCTCAAGCACAAGCAAAATCTTTCCTTCTCCTTATAATAAGCTCTCCCTAAAGCAACGCCATTTGTCATCACACCTGAAGTATTTTCTCATTATCTAAAGAATAATTGCCTCAGCCTGGTTTTTAAACATGTTCAAGTCCACCTCAGTTTTCCAAACTTTGTCCTACTCCATTCTAGTGTTTTAAAGTGTGGCCCCACATCACTAAGGATGGTAAGAGGAACCTGGGATGAATTTAGCTTCTTTTTATTTTAGAGTCATATTTATTTTAATGTGAACAAAGAAAAATTATAATTGCAAGATCCAAACCTTGATTTTATGATGAATGGTAGGGCTTAAGAGAAGACCAAGTGGAAAATAAATGAATCGATTTTTTTAAACATTAAGTAATGTGACAGGCAGTACTCAGATAAAAGCCTTAGATTTGGGAAACCTTGTCCTGTCCAGGTCTCTCTAGCAGGTGCCCTCAGTCCCAGGCCTGCTTGTCATTTTTCCAATTCTGATCATAGGCATCCTCTGTTTTTGCTTCAGTGGCACCTGCAAGCCACACAGTCTCCTCTGGTAGATATTTCTTTAAATGTTTCCCACCTTTTTATGTCCAGTTCATGCCTCATTCTAGGACCTCCCTGATTCTCTCCGCTCTCCTAGCCCACTGCCTTTTTCTTAACTCTTTAACCTACTTACAGTACCACTTATTTGGAACCTAACTGCTACTTAAGTGTCGGTAATATATCCATTTAGCATCCTTTCCCTAGTGAAATGAAAGCCCTCTGATATAACCTGTGGCCTATTTACATCTACATTAGCTGCAGTGCTAAGCTTCCCTAGTGGAATCTGAGTCCCAATCAGGCCCTTGATGAACACACATTAACTCAAAGTGTGGCTGAATGAGATGCTCCCCACACGTCCTTCAGGCCAGACTTCCAGTCACACCCAAGAAAGGGTGCATCTCACACATGGGCCTGAGCCCAGGAAATTCTACCAAAAGATGCGACTGTGTGGGTGCACCCTGGGCCATGGGAACGGGAAAGGTGGCCTGAGTCAACCCATTTGCAATTGTGTCTGTCTCCAAGGCCAGTCACCTTTGCCAATACATCCCCAGGTTCAGGCTGGAGGAGAGAGAGTAACTACAGCAGCCTCTAGTGAAAACACCCCAAGATGAGCCATCAGAACAAGGTCCGCCACTTGATTCATCTTATGACTTCGAGCTTTCTCCATTTCAAGTTTTTTTAATCTGTCCAATACCCAGCATAACTAATTCACACTTGCTATACGGCAAAAGAGATGATGATTTTGAAAGCACTTTCAGTTACTACACACAATGAAAATGTCAGGGACACAGCACATGGATCTGCAAGGAGAACAAACAGCCTGGGAGGCCAGATGGGCTATTCCTTGCTAGGCAAGCAACAGGCAACTGGAGGTGAGAGCCCAACTTCCAACCCAGCTTCCCTGGCCATATGATCTTGGGTATCCATTTAGTTTCTCTGAGACTTAATGTCCTTGTTGTGACACTGGCCTGTGCACCAGAAGATCCAGTCTGGGGCCAAATGCATCATGAACTTGAAAACCTTACAGAATGATACCCAAGCAAGACAGCCCCATTTGCATGCTCTGCTAGAAGTGCTAATGGGAGGGGGTGGTGGCCTGATGCATCCAGAATTTGGGCTGAACCCCAACTTAGTGTCACCAGAGCCACTCCAACACACTCCCTCCAACTGACACCTGTGGTTAAGCACAGCCCTGCTGTGTCCATCTCCCTGCTCTCTGCCACTGCTGTCCTGTCTGTATACCATGAGGAACACCCCATCTCCTTGTCACCATAGGCAAGTTTTCTCTTCCCCTTCCTGTTCAAAAACAAAAACAACTTTGAAATCACAGGTTCTCAGCGCTGACGGCTGGTTCTGAAACTAGTCATTCCCACTCCCCCTAGCCTACATGCACTGCTTACAGAAGTCAAAGAAGCAAAGGCCCTATGCAGAAAGGAAATGGGGAATGAGCCGGAACTCGGAGGAGGGGGACATCAGTGATAGGTGGTGGGATGGCACTGACTTCTTTGGGACATCACAAAGGTTGGCCTTCTTTCCAAAGTGGAAACCACAAGTCTCCTAGGGTTATATTGGTGTAGTTTATTGGAGCTTCCCCTTAGCCCCGTAACCATGGTTTCAGGCAAGCTACATCACAGGCAGGAGCATAAAAAAAAAAAAAAAACTATTATTTTCCCCCTAAAACTCCATGTACTTCAAAAATACATAAGGTGATATGCCAAGGGGGTTCAGATGCAACCTCTGACTCCTAGTATATTCATGAAATTATCTAGTTTTCAGTAGAAAGCAATTCCTCTACATCTCTTTGTGAGATGCAGATATCTCTGCTCCTGTGCCGATGGAAGAATCTTGAGCTTATTCACTGGTTCTGAGAGAAGCACGTAACAAACCTGAAAATACAGAGATTCATTTCCTAATTTAACACCTTCCATTCAAGGAGAGATAAAAGAAAAAAAAAGCTTGCTTCTCTCTACTTGTCCAAGTGCCAAGGTTGAATGTACTTGTTTAATAGTATGTTGACAAGGCCTAATTCCACAGCTCTGACAGTTAACAATGTAATCAATTACTAGTTAACTCAATCTCAGAAACTGTATTTCACCCCACATCATCCTGACAATCAAAACAGGAAGACAATGTAACTTTAAGATTCAAAGCACTGACTCCCCAATACCTGTAAGTGGAACCACTGTAAAAATACAACAGTTCTGGGTGAACGGGCAATGAATTGGGCAAAACGAGATGGACTGACGTTTCTGAAACTTTAGATGGGACCCACTGGGGAAGAACACATTTTCTGTCAGAAGATGGGCTAACTACCTTGCAGATGAATGGAAACAGGCAAGCTTTCTGCCCGGGAGAAAAATAAAGCAACTCAGCGACGACACAGGACAAAGCCAACAGGAGCAAGGACCCTTCAATCTGAACTCCACGTGCCTCTCCAAGGACGGAGGGCCTCACACTGAGTCACTCACAGCCAGCCCACCACGCGCCTTCGGAAGGCGCCAGGTCGCCTGCCAGCCTTCAGCACCAGCAGCCAGAGGCTCCACCAGCTTGTGAGCCCCTGCAGCACCCGCTGTCAAAAGAGCACAGAGAGGGCAAAGGGCCGTACCCTCCTTCCAGCTTCCTCACCCCAAAGCCTACTTCTCCCCACCTACCACGTGAAACGTTCCTCTCCAGAGAAATTGATTATACAGACAGACGGGCAGACACACGCGCACCCACACACACCCTAGTCGCGACGATCCATGCCCAACGCTGAAGCGGTGCACGGCGAGTCTTTCCCCGGGGCCCCAGGGCCAGCTGCCCGGACCGGGACCGGGAGGAGCCGAACTCACCCAGTCTTCGAAGTGGCGGCTCCCGTTCTGCAGCAGCTCCTCGAACTGGATGGTGCAGTTGGCCACGAAGTCATCGTAGCCGATGGGGGCATCGTGAAAGACAGCCAGCTCGATCTTGCGCCCGTTGCACACATCGGTGACGAACTCGTCGTGCCAGGCCGGGCTGTTGGTCTTCTGTTTGGTGGCCGTTTGGCCGATGCGAGAGTCGTCCACGTTGAGAGCGATGTAGGGGTCGAGAAGGAAAGTCTGCGGCCGAGGTCCCACCGCATGGCGCAGCGACCAGGCTGTGGGCTTCAAGCTCACGGCCTCGCAGATTTTGATCTTAAGAAGGCCATTGAACACTACCATGGTCAGGGCGAGGAGCAGGGGCCGGGTCACTCCGTCTGCCCCGCGGGCAGGAATGCAGAGCCGACGGCGGGCACTCGAGCCTCGGGGACTCCTGGGTCCCCTCTCTCCCCACCCCGTCGCTCCTTACACCTTGTGGCGCTGCGCCCCGGCGCCAGTGATCCTCAGCGAGCGCAGGTATTTCCTCGCCGGGTTCCTAACGGAAAGCAGGGAGGGGGGAGAGCCGGGAGACGTCCGCGTTTGGAGCGCTCTCTCCCCACAGCGCCCGGCACCTCCTGGGGAGGGGACGCGGGTCGGCCCCGCC